TAAAGAGCTTCACTCTGACGGTCTGCAGAGGGTGTTATGGCCATGGATGGGGGGGTACCTGGGTGTTCTGGCATTGTCATGAATAAACACCGTCAAATGCATTGCCAGGGTACGGGGTGAGGGAGGTGGGGGAGAATTAAACTGGGAAAATGATGTCCCTAGGAAAGCTCTCTCCCGTTTAGTCATAACTGATAAAGACAAAACACGCGTTTGCAATTGGCACTGTTATTTTATTAGTACGAGTATACTGAAACAATAAACTTGTACTGGTATACAGACAATTTCTTTAAAACAATTTTGTTCAAATTTTGAATCAAACATTGTTTTATTATAATAATGAAATAATTTCTACCTAGAAAACCTGCAAGCACCATCAAAGAAAGGGACCATAAAATTCAATAAACAGACGCGAGTGTATCCTACAAATAGACACACCACCATTAGAAAATAGAATATGAATTCTTCCATTTTTTTTAATATTTGTTTTAAAAAAGCTAGTGCAAGTACAATATTTTACACTGGAATTACAGAGTATGCACGCATATGGAAAAAAGTTCTCCTGTCACAATAAAAGCTCTTAACTATGTCTGTATGCACTTAAAATCTTCTCCTCTTTTCAATAAGGTGCAAAACGTTATTCCCTCCCTATTTCTCCTTTGTACTGGCCATGTCAGCTCAATTTCTCCCCAACACAAAGCTGCAATATCCCTTTTACTGGGCCTACACTAGGAACTACACTGGAAGTGTGATTTGCAACAACCCTCATTAGTAATACCAGACAATTTAAAAAAAAAAAAAAAAATTACTTTAAAAACTACTGCTGTAGAATGGCTGGACCTGACTCCGGCACGGCCAAGTGCCACCACCAGCTGCTGTCGGGAGCGGTGACATAGCTAGTACAAAATGATTTTCAGTAGCTCACCCGAACTGAAAAAGGTTGGGAAATTCCCCCTCCCCCACTTTTGTAACACTGCGAAAAGAACAGTGTTCAACAAGTTAATATATTTAAAAAAAAAAAAAAAAAAAAGGAGCAAATACATACATTAGTGAGTTTCAACATTAGCTGACTGTCGTGAAGAATTGTATCTACGCCTTAAGAGATTAGTAATTTCGCAAAGCATCCAGCCCAGTGGCCAGGCTGAAGACACAGACTGAGCCACTCACAGCTGCCCCTGGCCCGTTTTTTCCTCAGCTGCCCAGATCCAAACCCAATGGACTGGGACAAGAATTCTGCAGAGCGTGTTCAAAGGAGAGTACCTGGGTCCTGGATTTTTAAAGCAAACGCCAGGGTGGGATCCCCTTGCCAGCAGGTGGGAAGGGGCAGAAGCAGTGCTGCCCAAAGAAGCTGGTGGTCCCAACCCAGCTCCACCCTGGCCGAGGATCTGGGCCCTGAAGTTTCTGCCCATCAGCAATCCCACAGTACATCAGTGACAGCTTCAACGAGTGACTTGCACTCGCTGCAAACAACACTTCCAATGCATACCTACTGCGTGGTCAAGGGAAAGGGCACAGGAGCTTTAACTGCTCAAAATAGAAACTAACAGAAAATTAACAACCTTGGATGAAGCCTCCATAAAATCCTCAGTGGAAGACTTGAGTCCTTTCACCTAACAACAAGAAAAAAAACTACAGAAACCTTAGAGACTGTTATTGTATAAATACTACCTGTTGGCTGAATGCACTTCACTGTAACACAGCTAGGGCTGGTTTCTGAGCACCCAGCAGTCACTTGGACAGGGCATTTCTGCCCCATGTGCCTGCGGGAGCTGAAGCTTGGGTTACCTCCGGGGAGGGGGATGGGAGCAGCCTGAAACTTCGCCCACTCCGCTCTGCCATCGGCTCCCAGCTACCCAGCTCATTCTTTGGACAGGAAAAGGACCCCCTCCTCAGAAACTGCTTCAGGATCCTCTCCTTTTGGCTTCTGAAAAACATCAGTCTTGCCATCAGACAAGACCATCACTGGAAACGTGCTCTGTGTGACCAACTGCTCCCAGCGGCTCTGACAGCAGTGGTGGGGGAGAGGGGCAGTGACTGGGGCTGGAAGGCCAGGTTGCCTCGGGTACCACTCTGCTGCTAGCGCTGGGCTAGGATCCCTTGTTACAAGCACTTCTCACTCAGGGTTAAACTCTTTGGATTTCATCTGGAACAGGAAGTGCTGAAAAAAACATGGAACAGCATCCTCAGAAAGAGGAAAAAAAATGGGACCAAAAGGCTCCAGGTGGAAACTACACAGGTGGTGCTCGGCCAGCAACAGCTCTCCACCCCAGGGCTGGCCTGGCCGTGCCTGCCAAGGGCACAGCCAAGGCCTCCCTCAAAACCGGCCCTGACCTCTGGGCTGCCAAGGGCTCCCTTGGCAAAGGCAGAAGAGACTTAAAGCCAAAATACAACTGGAGAGTGAGACTCTAGTTTTGCACAGTAGCCACCCTTTGAAGTGCCTGGTAGCTGCACTCAAGAATTGCTGCTCCAAGGTGTATTTTCAGCACAGGAATAAACAGCGTGAAGCATTGACTCCATTCCCCAGAAATGGGACCCATGTAATACGAACAGAAAATTAAGCACAGTTGTTCTTTAAGAGCCTTTTAAGTAATAATTCTTCCTGGCCAGAGTCAATACAAATCAGATCATCTAGACATGACATTTGCTATATACAAAAAACATGTAACTTTCAACCTTTCTCTGCTTTTGTATTTAAAAACATTTTTTTTTTTTTTTTACAAACAAGGTATGAAACTCACTGTTCAAACAGAGCCATCTCTTTTTCAAACACTGAATGAATCATTCCAACATTCATTTTTCTTTTGTGCAATTTTTTAAAACATTACCTGTACTCCTCAATGTGAGTGCTTCAAAAAAAGTTTCTATTTTTAATAAGCTTCTCAAATTAGGTTTACATCAAAAAATATTCCCACAAGGTATAGTGCTACAAGAAAAGATCCTATCAGTAAAGGTAACACATCTGAAGCGAGGTCGTCTATGTAAAAGAAATTGAACTCTGGAGTAGAGGTGTGCAATGTGTTTGGAATTTCCCTATGGACACAAAGCAAGGCTGTCCTCAGGACAGGGAATCAAGTGGACATGTAGGCATAGACATAAAAAAAAAAATGCACACATACTTTATTTGTGTGCGGAGAGACACTTCTGCCTGGGGGTGTGTGTGCACGTGTGCATATCTGCATCAGCAAATTCTCCTTTTGCTAAATATTACAAGATTTGGGGGAGTGGGACAGTTGGACAAACCAGAGGAAAGGAAATTACTGCTTCCACTCCGGTGGTGCATTCATTCCCCTTGCTTTTCACATCAGCACTGGCCAGAGCCCATGGTGGACTCGGTTGCTACCTGTGATGATGAGGAGGGAAGAAATGGAAACTATCTGTACGAGTGCATGTCCCATTTTGCCATTTGTCAAGTTTCTGGGACAGCAGAAGTGTTTCAACAGGCCAAATCCCCTCCACCCGCCCGAGGCTTCTGCCCTGGTGAACCTGGAGATTTTTCCAGCTGCCTGATTAAGGTCAGGATCTGGCCCTGACTGAACCACGCTTTAATTTCACAATGATTTATACAGGTGCTTTACAGCAAGTCCTAAGCAGCCTTCGCTGGCCCGCCCAGACCTCCCATCGGAGGGTTTTTATTTTTTTTTTGTTTTTGTTTGCAGAACTGGGTCCCAGGTCATGCAGAGCATTGCGCCAAGAGCCCCCTTCTTTGAAATAACACTATTAGTGTTTAAAAATATTGACAATACAGGCTTTTTTTTTTCTCCTTTTTTTTTTTTTTTTTTTTTAGCAGTTGCAAGAATTAAGAGAATTTCAACATTTCCTTTTTACTACTGGCAACACACTGTAAAGTAATATAAATCTCTGCAGAGAGTGTATTTTCATGATAACCAACAGCTACAGTTTGTGCTGAGCCTGCTGCTTTTGTATTGCAATCTAAGTGAGATCTACAAAGTTTAAACCATGAGATGAAGGAAATCCAAACTTGTCTGTAACATTGTACATCCCTACTCCGGAGCAGTAAAAGTGCTGCTTCTGGTCACATCAGTGTACCACACATACACCAGCCCCATCCCTGAGTAAAAGGTGTGAAAGGTTTCTAAATGTTCCTTGATTGGAAGGGAAACAAGAGTAGTGAGGTCACTTCCCCATGCCGAGAAAATGACGGGAACGACAAGCCGAACGAAGCGACAGTGGGACGAAGGAATTAAAGGAATGAAAAAAGGAACGTGTGTCCCTCCCCTCCTCCCAACGTCTGTGTCTTCGAGGGAAAGCAATCCTAAGGGCAACATACAAAATGGTAAAACAGGTCAACGGTGACACCAGTTCGGGTCTTGACCAGAGGACTTGAGGTAAGTGACATCAAACTCAAATTCCCCCCGATGTGGCCCAGACAAACTGAAACAATGCCTAAGTTAAACGCTATAAGGAACAGTCATTTTATATATATAGATATATAGATAGATAGATAGATAGATTAGATAGATAGATAAGACAGATAATTTTTTTAGAAATCCCTATAAAGAGGTTCTTGTTTTATTTTTCTTTGCCCTGACTAATTTCTTGGTGATTGTATGCGTTTCATTGTAAACTAAAGAGGCCTGCTACAAAAAGATAGAAAAACCAGACAGAAAGAAAACTACTGGTAGTTACTATTGCAAAGCGGCCGTCACGCAGAAGCAGAGGCTGAGCTTCCTCCTTCGGCTTCCCCTCAGCATCCCTTTGCTTGCCAGTGGTATTTTGCAGTTACCCCGAGGATCAATGGCACTTCCTGGGCCTGGGGACTCGCTGCAAGGGATGCTCAGTGCCGGAGGGAGAGGCAAAGCCCCGCCTTGCAGAGAACTTGGCCCCCAGGAGGACTTTTCTCTCCCAGGTGGGAGCCAGCTCTTGTCTGTGTGTTGTCCAGGCGGAGGGCAGCACTCGGCCATACGGCTTAGTGCTGCTCTCTGCGTGGATGTCATGTAGACATGAATATATCTTTTTTTTTTTTTTTTCTTTTTTTTTTAATCCCTGGATCTTTTTCAACATCAAATACAAAGAGGGTTTGTTTTTCCTGGGGCAAGGGATCTTTTACCCTTAATATGGTTTTAGGGTTTTTCTGAGGGGGGAGGACAGGGAGTTAGGAAAAAAAAAAAAAAAGGTAGAAAGAAAGAATTCAAAAGAGAACAAAACCAGGGGAAATCAGAAGTTGGTATGACATCTAGCTAACACCACACGGGTGAGTCTAAGTTGGCACGTAAAGTATTGCACATCCTAAAAAGCCAAAGCATGGAAAGGGACAATTGTTTGGAAAGAACCAGTTATTTCAGAATTCCTCAGTCTGAAATACAAGCACAGAACTAATACATTCCTATTGCTCCAAATGTATTTATTTTTATTTTTTTTTTTTAGTGTTAGTTGAATAGATCCAGTCAGTTTAATAGCCCCTGCTTCCTTATAAACCACAAATGTGTATGCGTATGGTTTTACTTGAGATTTCTTTTTCTCCAAGTACACGTGAAGTACAGAAATAGTGGTACGACTGTGAACTTAAATCTGTAATTCTTTTTCTTCCTTTACCACCAAAGCTTAAAAACAAAACAGGAAACAAAACAAAACAATAAATTGCAAGTGCCCTGAGCAGAGTATATGGAAGATTAAGCAACTTCTCTGAGCAGAAATATTAACAAATAAGCACTAACTAAGCTGTGTGATTGTGAGAAGAAACCCACTCAGCTATTTGGTAGCCCGCCGAGAGGTTAATAAAATTCAAGGAAATTCAAAAAACGTTTCAAGCTATTTTAAAAGTATTTCAACTTTTTGGTGCACCCCAGAATATGGTATAAAAACAATTAGGTCTGGTGTGAGCTAAATTTCAAGTAACAAGTAACAAGAGTCAAAGCTGGGGTTTGGGGTTAACATTTCTTCTCTTAAAGAAAAGCACTGTATTTTAGGGGAGAGGGAAAACATGATTTTAAATACATTTTTCTCAGTTTAGGTTACTGCACTTTTATTTCCTTTTCTCCCTATGAGTACAGCTTCTTCAAAACTACCTGAAGGATGCGAACTCGCCAACCAAAAACGACGACATGAACGCTTGCTCACGGAGGGCCCAAGCACAATCCCAGTGAAATCAAGGGGATCTCTCTAGAGGCAGCAAGAGGCTTTAGCGCTCAGCCCCAACGTAACTTCATACTTGCACCTCCCCGAGGCTCGTGCAGGAGGTTGGGTGCACAGCACCTCAAAGGATCCGGCCCTACCTGGGGAAAGAAGAGACTGAACGGCATGAAATCCCCCCCCCTCCTACTTGGTTTGTACGAAACTCTTGAAATGTCGCCTTTCCAATGGAAAATGATGCAATTAAAATAACAAATAATAATAATAAAATAACAATAGGTTTGTTTTCAAAACAAACAAACACCTTGCTTACTTATAGAAATGTTTCTCGTGGAAAACTCTCTCAGCAAGTCTGAAGAAAAATTCTCAGAGGTGTCCCGGTAGGACCTGGTTCTGTGTGGCAGATACGGTATAAAGACCAAAAATGAACTCTGAAAGGAACGTAACCCTATGAAATGGCCTAGAGCGTAGGCAGGTTAGTGAGTAATTGCTACATTTGTTTATGCTCTTTCAGACCCCCCCCCTCCCCACAACATTATTAGGTAAAAACTGCAGGAATACCACACAAATGATAAACTCAAGATGTGCAAATTGCAAGATTCTTTAAAGTCCATCTTTTTCAAAAACACTGGACAATGATTTTTTTTCCTCTTTCCTTTTTCCTTTCTCTTATTTTTTTTTTTTATTATGTCAGCTCGCATATGCCTTTAACTCTTTCTCAAGCATTAAAGTTTAAAAAGTGCCTCCTATTAAGTAGTCCTTTGTGGACAATGACTGTCACATACTAGTTCAATAATTCACATTCATCCCTTTGAAACCACATTAAAACTTTCAGCATCTTGCCTGTGAGAAAACTTTACATAGTTGCATGTAGTTACAGTGTTGAAGAGATTTGTTTGTTTGTTGTTGTTGCTTTCCGAGCAGATTAAAGTGATATACAGTACATACTGAGTGTTAGACCAGGATGCTCAGCAATAAAGTGTGAACAGCATTTTAAGTGCTTAAAGACATTCTAGGTTCATCTTCAACAGCGGATTCCTGTGTCACACCGCAATTTGAAAAAAAGTGGCACCAGTTGTCCATAACCATGAACTAAAACCAGTACTAGAGTTAAAGACAAAGATTTGCAACCTAACTGCAAACGATGGATGCCTGTGATCTCAAAGGGGCAGTATGCGTCTACCTTGTGGAAGCAAATGTCAATGGCGTAACCCGGTCGATTTGTCTAACACTGCACAGAAACAGGAGTGAGCCTGAGCCAGGCACATCCACAGAGCCAGAGGCCTCCTCGTGCACACCCACGCACACCCACGACACACGCACGCACCCACCCACCCACCACCCCCACCACCATGAAGGAAAAACTTGCAGGGCGACCGGTGCAAGAGTCCGTACAGCCTCCCCGTCTGCTGACTCCGGGCAATGGAACTGCACTAGCAAGCAGAAAGGAAACGTGGTGTGGCAGTTGCTTTAGGAATAAAAATCAGTGCAGTCAGACCCCATGGGGGGAAAAATATATATATACATATACACACACACAAATATATATATATATATATATATATAGTAGAGCCTTGAGTAAGAGTTGGCTTGTTGTTGAAAACATCAGAGACTGTCCGATCCTTTTCAGTAACACCCATGGGTTGTGTTCACCACCTGGGGTGAGGAAACCTCTTCACCAACCCTCCACAGAGCGGCTGTCCCGCCTCGAGGTTAGCACGCACCCACACACGCACACACACACATACACGCACCCCGTGTGTGACATACACCTCTGCTACAGTTCCCTTCTCCTCACCCCCCCCCCCCCCCCCCCCAAAAAAAAAAAAAAAACTAGAACAGGAACCAAAACAACAAAACAAACAAATAAAAAAAAAAAAACAAACACAAAAAAACAGCGACAAAAAGAAAACAAAATCACAGCTGGACCCTGTCCTACACGAGGTGTTAGAAAACAGGAGCCATGACAACACATTCATTTCCACTAAGGGTGTGTGAAGCAGATACTGCCCCTTCCGTAGCTTTCGATAAACCTAGTCACTGACAAACACTTGTGGAAAAACATATGCACCAGTCTCCTGCATAATACCAGCTGCAACTATAACAACAAGGTTATAACATAAACCTAAAATAAGATGATAACATGTAAATACTGGGTTATTTAGTCTACAGTACAGTAATCTGGATAAAAATGACAAGGGATAGCCTAATTTCCTTTCCCCAAACAACTTTTACTTTCCTACGTTGGATCGACCTTCAATGCAAATCTTAACCTCCTGAGGAATAAAAGAAGGCTTGGGAAGAGTCAAAGGTGGCTCCTCTTCTGATTTCTCTAGTTTTCGTGTTTCGGGGGCTGACCACCTCCTCTTCCTCGTTGCCGGGGGCTTGCTGGGTTCTGTTTTGATGAGCAAAGGTGCTGCAGGCAATCCTATTTTGTCCGGAAACTTCAGTTCACCGTTCTCAGCTAACATCTGTGCGCTTCCCTGATTAATCCCGTTTTCCTGCTCCGCATACCTGTGTCTACTTCCAGCTAGACTGTCATTCTTTGAATGCTTCAGCAAGATACTAGCTGAGTCCATGGGCTGGCCCTTTTTAATAGAGCCATTCTTCAGGTTCTTGAGCGTGAGCGATATGCAGACGTCCCCCACCGAGAGTTTGGAGCATGGCAAATCAAAGAGCTGGCTGGTTCTCTCAGGGCAGCAGGATGACCAGCCTTGTCCAAATACAAAAAAAGGGTATTCTACCAAGACTTCCACGCTGACCTGCAGAAAGAAAGGGGACAACAGAGGGAGACAGAGGGAGAGAGAGGGGAAAGTGTGAGATCAACCCATGTGCCCTCACACATGTGCACAGTAGGCAGCGCTTGCCACAAGGGAGAGGGACAAAGCTGGAATCGCAAAGGTGTGGCTCAGTTTCTCCAAAGTCAGTACAGTGGCCACCAGACTTCAGGCCTGTCCTTGTGACAAGAGTGTTAATGGTTTCTCTGAGCTTAGCATTTCTTAACGCAAGACCTCAGTGGGAATCAAGCTTTACATCTATCCAGCCACTCAGAGAGGTGCAAGAGGCAAAACGGCTTCGGTGTCAGGCATACTGTTCTCCACCATCCCTCTGTGGTACCTATAGCCTGTAATCCAAATCTAAAGATCCTTTCCAACCATGGAAGCTCTCAGTTCTGACACACAATTTTCTAAATGATCGCGGTAGTGTCATCCTCACCTCTACCCGAGCAAGCATACACTTACCAGCGTGAAACAGCTGAAGCCACGCTGATTTCCAGGGAAAGGCCGTAAGTATGTACAGAGTTGTAGCCATAAGAGCAGTCAGTGTGAACCTGCCTTCCCCGAGCAGTCCTGTTACCAGTCCAGTTTCTTCCCTTCTCATATCCGGTCTTCCACTCTGCAGCTGACTTCACTTCCTGCACTCCCTCAGGGAGAGGATCATCTCTACTCCTACTCCAGTTCCTGCACTTTGTCTCCCCTTTTCCCCACTTTAAAAAACACATCCGGTTAGGAATCCTATCTAACTATCTTACAAGGAGCTGCCATAGCCAAAACAGACCAAGGACAGGTGCCCACTCCTCCCTGGCCTTGCAAGTGCTGGGCCTTGAGGTCCCAACATGATAAAACACCTAAATACTGACTTATCTTTGCATGTGGCAGCAGTCCAGCACTCACGTGTGTGTGGTGCTGCATCTGTAGGCTCAAACACTTGATGTGGGCTCATGTGATTCACAACCCACAGGGCCGAACCCCCACCCTCAGCACACCACAAAAAGGGTAGGAAATTCTGACTAATACTTCTTTAAAATTTGGCAGATTTTTAACTGCTGTGTGTAACACCAGTGAGGTCTGCAACTGTAAGAGGGTGGCTTATGCTGACAACAACAGATACCCCCTGCTCTGCTCCCAAGGGCCTCATGTCCTCTGGAGCTCTTCTCAGGCATGGGGGCAGGATGCCACTTGGATTCTATAACCCTTAATTTGGTAGGGGCAAAAGGGCAGAAGAACACCTGAACACATGTGCTCACCCCATTTCTGAGCCATTCAGGAGGCAGGTAGTATACCAGCTGCCTGGAGACCCTTCCCTCTCCAGGATCACGGACTCACTAGAAAGGAACATCACACAAGGCTTGCGAAACCACCTCTCACCTTTGGAAACGAGTAACGCTGTCACACCCAGCATGGCTTTGTATCGTTAAAAATACCTTTCAACATTAAGGAATATTATCCTGCCACTCCACCTGCCCAACATAGTAAGCCACTGTAGAAGGAATTTCAAAAGGAGCAGTTTAGAGGTCTAAGACACCCCACACTTATATGTATCAAATTTCGGCATATTAAACCTTGTCTGACCAGACCTGTTTGACAACAATCAGCTGTGGCAACAGTGAAAAGGGACCCGACTGTAGGCCTGGTTTAAACTTTGAATTATGAAGGAAGTGGGAGAGGTAACCCTGAAAGCCCCATCTCTTTGTGATGCTGCACAGAAATGCTCCAGCACCAGGATGTGCAGAAATATTTGCCCAGAGTTTGGGATCCTATTCCATATTTATGCATCTCAGTCTAGCCGGGGTCTAACTTGGAGAAGCACTGAGTATCCAGCATCTCACATGGACTTGAATGAAAACTTCTGTCTGCACAAGAGTTGTAGGCTTTTCTCCAGGCATGGATTATCTGGTGGACATAGCTTTCTCCTTTATATTGCTATTTCTCGCCTCTTTCTTTATTCTTTCCCTCCTACCTGCTGTATTGTTTTTTCTTTCCTTTTCTACTTTCCCATCCTTGTTAAACACTAGGTGTATCTGTGGGAATCATACATGCTTGTGGGCATCATCCTCACCAGCACACAAGTTCCTCTTGATGTTCCTCATTGACACCCAAGTTCCTCTTGATGTGAACACGCTTCACACTGCACCACACCATTATGCTTTGGGGATTTTTTAATGTAATATCCAAAACACTTGCCTGAACTGTCAATCACTGAGACAAATGCCAGAATTGGTGGTGGTAATCATGAATAACACAAAAAAAATAAAGATAGTGAAATGCCAGAATCTCCATGATCTGGTCATGGTGTGCATGTACCACGACTGTTTTGAAATGGGCTCCCTCATGGATTATCAAGTCCCATTTTAGCTGGCTGCTTCTGGATTCAGCTAATGAGGGATTTGAGGTAACCATTCTCTACAAGCAATAGTAGTCAAAGACCTTTAAAGGGTGACATTTCAGTAAAAACACCCCCACATAATTTTTTTCTGATGACTGCATTAAAACACAAAAAATTAATTTTAAAAGCTTCCTCTCCCTGTATCTTGTCATGATTATTGTAGGAAAGAAAGAAATTGGGAACTTGTTTACCCACTACTAAGATGATAAAGCAAGAGTTGGTCTTTCTTGAAGTACACTGAGACTCTACTGCGAGCTACATTTGTATTTCTAACACTGACTAGTCAAAATACCCAAAACTCCTCTACAGTAACCACTGGATATCTGAAACTTTCTATAACCTTTTATAATTTTATTTCTCAGCCAAGCTCAGTAGGCAAGGCAGGCAATTCAGACAGCTAGGTGCTGTAAGATCTAAGCCCCAGAAAATACCCTTCCCATCATTTAGAAACACCAACAACTTTAGTCTCGGGCCTCACTGCTGCCATCAAAATAACAAGAACTAAAGCAAAAGGTGCCTAATGAAAGTGTTTCATGTGAACAGCATTTTAATAAATGTAAACATACATTTTTAAATTAAGTGTTTTTCTCCATAATATAATTAAATGTGATGAAACTAGGAGTGGCAGGATGGAAACAAAGATAAGGAAGCGGCTCTGGAAACAATGTGCAATTAAGCAGTAGAGCTCTCTGCTTAAGGCCTTGCTGCGGGTGCTGAAAGACTCCTAGGCCCCAAAAAACAACTGGGCAGATCCATAGAATAGAAGCTCTCCTTGTCATAGAGAGGTCCCTGCAGCACCATGCTCCCACACGACCTCCCCTGTTCAGAAACTTTGGGACTGCTAATGTTCCCCTCACCCCCAAAAACCTTCCACTGCCTTCACAAGAGTGGATCTCCTGTGAGAGATTTATGGAGCTGCGGGAAGCACCTCGAGCCACAAGAACCACTACTCTCCATGACAGCTGATCTGACTGGGCATCCCCCTACAGCTGCACCTAGCCCAGCTTCAGTACACTGTTACTGTACCAAAGGCAGTCAGAGCTCCAGTTTTAGGGGCTGCCGCTCTCCACAGTCTCGCAATCCCATCATTTCTCAAGAGAAGCCACCTCTTGTCCAGAAGGCCACGGGTTGTCAACTCTATCACATGAGCTTTATCATCTGCTGCACTCCCAAAATTCAGTAACATTCATCTGAAGACAGACCACAGCCACCCCATCACTTGGAGACACAAGGACTTACTGTCCCATGACCAGGGGACACAGAGATCACATGATGGGAAGGCTGTGAGAGATCTCCATCTGCAGCAGAGAATTGAGTCAACATCTCTCTTTCTGTGTCTGCTACAGAGCCAAAGATAATGAAAAAGAGAGCTCAAAGAAAAAGTAATCGGTTTGTAGGCATGCAGGGACATAAGGGGATAACTAAACTAGATGACCGTCTAAAAAAATGCACACTAAAGTAAACTAAACTAGTTAGAGCTACTAACTACATGCTCAAATAGGATTTTTTGATCTCTAGTGGTTAGGATTCTGTTATTTTTTTTTAAAAAAGGAAAATTAAGAAGTGCATCTTCATATTTTCTTTTTAATCTATACTTTAGGAATTATTAGGAACTGAAATGCAGAATTCAGAGAACTTATTTTTCACTGCCTGGGCGTTTTGACCTTAACATCAGTGGGGGTGAATTACCGGCTTCCGCTTGCTCCTGCCAGCCAAAGAAAGGACAGGTAATAATGATGAAAGTCTTATTACAATAATACTATGTGGAATTGCAAAGAGATGTAGATACACGAGTCTTCTCTTTTAGGCATCTTGAATGCAGAGGAGTAACAGCTGAACTGTAGGTTCTGGCCTGCTGATACTTACTTGACTTCTTCCTAATCCAGAGCCAGGATGCTGTGAAATGGAAACCCATAATCCCTCCAGGGCCTTTAGGTGGGTTAATTTTCCTGTAGGTTTTCGAATCCAGGAAAGGGTTGGATTTGCCAGGTGACTGGAGGACTGGGAAAGGAGGGAGGGCGACCTCTTTCTGCCTAAGTGCCATGCTGGGGAGGGGCAGCTGCGGGCTTGCACTAATACCATACAACAGCAGCTGCATGGTGCCTCTCTGTTTACATTACAGTTGTATATGCTCAGCTGAAAATAACCTCCTACCTCTGTCCTTCAGCTGGTGAGAAAATTATCTACTGTTTGCACAGAGACTGAAAATACGGATTCATCAATATTATAATGACTTCCCAGAGATCCCTGGGAGGAGTAAGTGAGCCAAAGCTAATGATAACAACGCTATTTTTGTATGGCACTTACTCTTTACAACTTACACTCCCTTGATAATACCACTTGAAAAGCTCTCTTCTTCCAAAAGCATGTATGCAACTGAAACTTAATTGTAATAAAATACTTTGTGAAGCTACACTACACATGCAGATATATCTCCCCAGCACTCCGGAGTCAAGACACAGATTCAGTGCAGCAGCACCACAGTGCCGCTGCTCAGAGCAGCGTGACTAAATACTGTTCTTTCAGCAAGGAGACTAAGCCTGCTTCACTCAAGGCAATTTTCTACGAGCAATGACTGCTGCACACCTGCAAATAAGTCTGAATGCTTTCACAGAGCCTCAGGAGGCTGAGGGTGAGGTCACAGAGACTTCAAGCACATAGAAACTCTCGCTCTCTCTCCCTCTCTCTCAATCTAGGCAAGGGGAAACAAGCAGAGCCATCCCCGCTATGAAGGGACCCAGCTGATCTGGGAAGAGACCCAAGTCCTGGAATCAGCAGGAAACCTAAATTAAACCCCCGTTTCTAATCATATCTCTCCGTGACTCGCCCTCCATTCTGGAAGCATCCCCAGTGGGAAATACAGCTGGGGAGTATTTTGGCTGCGTTGATGTCAGCCTGCTCCTGATAGGCTTCTCTGTAAGGTGACACTTTGCTGGGTGAGACCTGTGTGCCAGGATTTGTACAGCCTCAGACTCGCTTGCTTTCTGCCAGAGGATGGCACTCCACCCCCTGCAAAGGCGCAGCTCTTCCTGGTGCCCAGGACTACAGCACATCGCCTGCACTGACAGATCTGTGAACGACACATGACACAAATGCTACCTGCTAATTTGTACCTCTTCTGCTGGTGCAGGGACCTGTGGCCTGACTGCAGGGGGAGAAATGTTAGCAAGATGGAAATTGCAGAATAGAGATTGCTACTTTTGAAATCTCATTATTCAAGGCACTGGGCAAATTATAGTAACTGGTCCTGATCCAAGGACAGTTCCTCAAATCATGAAGCCTGAGAAGAGCCAAAATACAGTTAAAAAGTGTGTGGGGGGGGAAAAATCGAGTCTTTATACTGAAAGCACCAGAGGCCCAACTTCTGTTAGCTGTGCAGATGCAAGCACATACATGAACAAACCCAGACAGGGAATCTGTATGTTTGACATAAGAAAGAGGACCTGCCATATGTAGTAATTTACCATGTATACGCAATTGGGGAAGGACAGGCCGCAGACTGCTGCGACTGTACAAAATCTTCCGTGTGACCTGCTCTGTGGTACCATCGCTGTTTGGTTTTCTGCTCCAAACTTGAGGTGTGTTACTACATGTCCATGTCCAGCTCCTCTCTCCCTCTCTCTTGTTCTGGTTCTCCCGTGCTGAGGGTGCAGCATCAATGGTGCAGATGCTGCAGTTCACAGCACTCCAACCAACCAAAAAGATTTGCAACAGGATTACTGGAACACAGTACCTCTAGGAAGCAAAATGCTACACACAGTGTATCTGAATTTTCAAGTGTCTAAATCCCTCAGAAAAAGGACAGCATTGGAATAATGCCTTCAGATCAATATGTATTCCTAACCTCTGGAAAGTTACAGGTTTTCCTCCTGCATTGCAAACCAAGACACAAAGGTCAGAAGCACAGCCTACTCAGACACACAGGTGGTTTTTCTTTCCAAATTTCCCTTGATCACAGAATTTATGTGAGCCATGCAGTGTTAAAACCACCTGCAACCAAAGCCTCAGTAATGCTCTGTAGTTCATTTCAGTAACTTACATATGAGACCATTCCCAGTCAGCTCCAAGTTTTCAAGCCATGGAAATTCACTGCCTTGCGCCCTACCTATGCCTCTAGGGTAGGATTTGAGGTGAATCTAACCTGAACTTTCTGGTCTGGACAGTAAAAGTCACCTACCAAAATGAAAAAACTAACCTCTCACACTGCTTACACCATTTTGTATTTAATCAAAAACCAGGATAATCACGTAAGTCTTCCTGTGGGTTCTCCAGCTATAAAAAAAGACCCATTTTATATCCAGAAGACCACATTTATCATCAGTGTGACTCCGATGGCTCTCCCAGCAGGGTGAGTGGGATGATTTTTGGTCCACAGTTTGTCTCGGGGATGGATGAAGAACCAACCCCGAGTAGATCCAAAGCAAACGAGATGTGTTGTTGCCCAGGGGGCCACAGCACGCACCCCAGTCCAACGCCCCCACCCCACCATGCGCCGCCATTACCTGTGCTCGATGCTCCCCAACTGCGAACTGTATCACGGCGATGCCTGGGTTATGGCTCTCTTCAATCCTCTCCACAGTGCTGGAGTCTATTTTCAGGTCGTTGCTAATTTCCGCGCTCTGTATGAAGTCTTCTGTTTTCAAGTCCTCTACTTTCTTCAGCTCCCCGTTGGCCAGCTGAATGATCGACCCCTTCATGAAGTAAGGGGGCAGCGTGGGAGGTGCGGCAGCGGGGGAGGCGATGGACTGCACCACAGGCAGGTGGATCTGCGCCTGCACCATGGTGGCCTGGTAGGCAGGCTGGGTGGTGAGGGGCTCTGCGCTGAAGTTCTCGCTCTTGGGGACGGCGGTGGTGACGAACGTGTGAGGCACTGCTGCAAACTGAGGAGACGACGTGACGATCGCGGGCGTGACTCCTGACGGCTCGACGTCCGCGCTGCCGACCGGAATCAGCAGGGACTGGGCGCCAGGGATCACCAGGTGCTGCGGCAGGCTGCTGGGGTACCCGATGGCTTGCTGCTGACCGCTCAGGTAGCCGATCACCGGCGGCTGGGTCCCGGCGTAGAAAGCCGTCGCCGGCAGCCCGACAGGGAGTTGCTCAGAGGCGCTGTGGGTGGTCTGAATGACGGTGTGAGGGGACAGTGTGGCCACCGCCTTCACCCCCTCGTGGCCCAGAGCCTGCTGTGGAGACAAGGCATAGGACCGGTGGGTTGGCTTTCCTAAGTGCAAGCTTCCCTTGTCATTGAGGGCTGAAGGAGAGGTCTCATGGTTGGAGGCCTGCTGCACCTCCATGTCTGCCGTGGGCGTGCTGCTGTTGGGGACCACCATGACGGAGGCTCGGACACCTGAGGAATCCCGCGCACCGTACTCAGCGGGGCTCGAGTGGACCACCACGTGCCTGGTCTCATAATGATGGGGAGCTGGTTTATTGCCTGCTTTAACTAGACCCAGGTCGGCAGAAGGCGAAATGCCATACCTCCGGCTCTTCTCTATCTCGCCGTTCAGTACCTCCTTGGCCTGCATCGCCTGCAGCCGGCTGCTCTCGGGTTTCTTGGGGGTATCCCTGGTGACGAAGTGGCCCCCCGAGTCCGTGTACTGCACCACCACTTGGGAGGAGGGGCCGAGGGTGAGGGTGTGCGGGATCACTGTCTGATGCGGGTGCAGGGGGACCGGGATGGTTGGAGGAGAGACATTTCTGACAGTGCTCTGAGAAGAGCTGGAAATGTGGACATACTGGTTCTGCTGGGTGGGTGGAGGAGACCCGGCAGCAATCAGTCCAGGTGTCCTGACCAGGTGCGGCTCAACTTTGTGGCCCTGCTGGCTTAAGCCGCTCATGCTGGCCAGCAAAGTGGAATAAGCCTCCAGCTGGGAGCGCTGGGATGGAGTGGTTGCAACGGCTGTGGCCGCCGCCACGGCGCCGGTCGCGGAATTGGCTGTTGGGGAAATCAGCTGAGAGGGGATGAATCCGGTATACGATCCACTGTACTGGGGCCCGACGAATTGGAAGGTGTGTTGCAGGTGTGTGTACTGCACGGGGGAAACAGGGGTCCCTGACTGGGAGAGGGCGGGCGAGTACACCGTGGGAAGAGTGGTGGAAACTGGAACGGACCTGGGCGCACTGGGCGGGGAATAGTCCAGCCCTGCAGACAGCGACTTGTGCAAACCCTGCGGCAAGCCTGCCTCCACCGATGACGTCCCCGCAGGCCGGTGCCGGCTCCCCAGGACGCCCTGGCCACTGGGTGTTGTGGGGAGCCATGCTAGGTTATCTGCACGGTGGTTTTCGTTTGGCAGGACCGGCTTCACCTCCGAAGGCAGGCTGGTGGCAGGGATTTCTCGCTTCTTAGGTGGCAGGCATTCATTGCTCCGCTCTTGGTTGGATTTCATCTTTCGCCGTCCCCCCTCCACTGTGCTTGCTTCACTGTCTGGCTGGCTCTGATTTCAGTCTGATAAATGGAAAGTCACATTTGATTTCTGCAAGGGATCCAGTGACTTCATGAGGAATCATCTCCCTGTGAGCACGATCCTCCGACAGCTCCTCTGGATTCTGCAATGAGAGGGTGGGCAAGGGAGGGGGGAGTCACACTGTCAGCACTGAGAAATGAAAACAAATGAGCAGACACCCTGAAACAGCAAATGAGAAAAAAACCTCCAGAAAAAAAGAATCAAATGGTCAGGCATTGCCACTCTTATGTCAAGGGGCAGTTGACAGCTGCTCTGTAAGAAGTAGCAAAAATACTGGGCATGGCTGCTAATGCATCAGGAAGACATTTAAAACCGTAGGCAGATCAGAAACTCCCTGGCCATAATTGCCTTATTTCCCAAGACCCTTTCTCCTTCCTCTGGGAAAACCCTCCATGTGTCTGTGGTGCCCGGTTTGTTATTCCAGACTCTCCTTCCCCTGAAGTGAGCACAATGCCTTCACCCTACTGTGTCCTAAAAAACACAGGAGTGAGGCAGGGAGCCCTGAGGAACAGCCACACACAAAATATTTACGTTAGCAACAAGTAGCTATTAGTGGTGCAGAGGGAAGGTGGCAGGTCACTTCTAAACACTTGAACGCCAGAGTCACCCACAGGGTGACTTCACATCACACCCTGTAGGGTTGTGGAGGCAGCAGCTGCCTCCCTGTCCCCCTGCCACACCACAGCTCATTACAGGCACACGTGCCCTTCATCCACCAGTCTGGCAATGAATCTCAGCCCTGTGATCTATTTACAGCAGCAGCACAGAGCCAGATATGGCTCTGAGCCAGGTTTTTGATGTGTGGGGTTTTTTTTTTTTGACCCAGTGCTTTGAACTCCCTCTGCTACTGACACCTCACATCCAGGTATCCAGGCAGGACTCTGTGTTGGGAGATGCTCCCTGTCACCTACAGGTTGGCCAGAGCCAGATGCTGGCACCATCTCCACCGCTGGCAGGATCCAATCCCCCTTTTTCTTAGTGACTGCCAGACCAGAGGGGCTGTGGGTACCACACTCGTGGCCACGGCCACAGCTCCAAACACTGAGCAAACTCAGCCCTGGGGCTCCTCAAAAGCATATGTGGGTTTCCTGATCCAAACCAGAAGCCCCCACCACTGTAAAAGCTCACAGTTTCATATTCGGCTGATTTTGCCATTGGAGCAAAACAGTTGCTTTGCATCCCCTAATTCACCCAAAGGCAACAAAGTCTTCCTAACTCTTCCACCATCTGCTAAAGAACATACCGTATCTAAAACACATCATGCCTTGAAAAAAGGCAAAAGGAGCTGTCAGTCTCCCCTATCTTCCTGAAACCTACCTTGCCTTGTCCCATAACAAACGTCACGGAGAGTGAAACTTCTCCCCAGCCCCTGACCAGCCACCACCTGTCATCTGCATTTCTGGCTGTTTTGAAAGTTATGCAAGAATGGGTGCTGGGAAACCTCGCATGACCGGCAGCTTAACAAGAAAAGTATGCATTACACGTAGGAAAAACGGAGAGAGAAAGAATTAAGAGTGGATGTGAAAGAAGATGGAAGTAGGATATAGCCCACTTTAAAGGGAATGCTGAGCAGCAGTAATGATACTTATCTTGTGGCAAGTAATATTCCTTTGGGAGATTTCTTTCCCTGCTGCCTCGCTTCTAATGAACAATAAGCCTGATGTTTATATGTGTATGAAGTACTTTGAAGACACACTAGACTAAGATTAAACCTATCTTTAAGAGCACTCTTTACGTTTATGGTCCTCCAAGCTGCTGTAAGCCTGCAGGAAAAGTCCAAACGTTCTAATGGTTTGATACAATCAGTCTTAAGTTAATTATCCCATTCTTTAAATATTGATAAACAGTAATGAAACACCAATAGCCAGAGCCAGGGGAGGGGGGTAAAGCACAGTTTCAGTGTGGATTCTCTGACTCTGAGGTGATAGGGAGGATGAAAGGACTTGGGGCAGCTTCAGATGAGCAAAGGCCAGTGATGCCTTCCTTGAGCATGGCAGCCCGGTGGCAGCAGTGCCCACTGAGTGATGGCTGGGTACCCCCGCTGTCCTGACCTGCCCCATCTGTCAGCACCACCCCCTCGGTACTGCCACGGCGGCCAGATGAGGGCAGCCAGGAGACAGGGTCCCTGCTAGATCAGCATGGGTCTTCCCCCTCCTCCTAAGCAGTTGCTCAGCGTGTCTTGGCAACAGCTAAAATTATTATATTACACATGACTTACAGATTTTTCTTTTTAAGTTTGACTAAAAATAAAATCAGCGAGCTCACATTTGCGCAGTCATCCTTGGTTAACTTTAGCTCACTGTAACCTTCTGCCCTGGGCAGTCAGCTTTGGTAGGTAAGTCAGCAGATCCTGACCGAGGCGGCTGCCCAGGATGCTGCCCTTAACATGGGTTGCTCATCCTGCTCCCCTTGCCACTGGGAGCTCGTGCTGGGCTTGGACCATCCTCCAGTCTCTCCTGGATATGGACATGAGCTGCACACCCAGAATTTAAATACACTCCCACGGGGAAAAGCTGGGAACAGAGGGCTGGCTTCTCTGCCTGCAACACAGCGAGGAACTTGTACATGGAACCAAATGGGGCCGGTCTCTTTTCCTGTGATGGATAAACCAAGTTCCCCAAAGGCAGTGGTTCGAAAAGTCCGAGGCATCTGGGTTCAGCTTCTCCTCATCAAAAATACTACACTGAAGCTCAATGAAATGTGGCAAAGTTTCATTCTGCAGGAGCTGAAGCAAAGGTTTTGTTCTGCTAAATAGTATAGAACCACTGAGTTTTGGGTGGCCTCCAATGTCAAAACTAGCATCCTTCAAAAATAGCAAATACTCAATCTTTTGGGTCTATTTTTTTTTTTTTCCCCAAAACCTCCTGGAGAACACAGGAGGAATAAACAAATTTAACAGAGACAAGGGATCAGACAGCCATAGAGCAGTGAATACTGCCCCACTTTTCCAAGCCCAAGCACTTCACAGAGAGACTTTGAACTCCTAACAGACACAGGACTGAATTTGCAAAAAATGCAAATGTGCAGCATAAAACAGCCTACTTCTTCTTCAAGACTTAAAAGTAAAATGGTAACTTTTCGGCATAATTCAAGTTCCAGCAACAGCAAAGATAAGACAGGACTGATTTTGCTTGGGAAGCAATGAAAGGGAGACAACCCAAACAAGAGTGTCTCAAAGGCAAGAGGTACAAGACCTGGTAAAACAGTTTTCTGCTGGCTGTCCTAGAAAGACAAACGCCTGCTTTCTGTGGTATGCCGCAGGGTTTGTTACTTGTACATTCTTTTTTTTTTTTTTTTTGGATTCAAGTCATTTTTCTGACTCTGGAGATATCCTTTCTCTTTAACTTCAGAGCTGTCAATCATGATTTGCGATATACGCAAACAAGCAGCAAACACCAGGTGATTTTTTTGCTCCTGCTTTGTATGTGTGTGTGTGTCACACAAGTGTGTGCGTGCGTGCAGGCATGTGTAATTATGGCTGGGAAGGTAAAGGGGACAAAGAGATCAGGGAGAGCAGCTGGACTTTGGTATCTCTGGCAGTGAGTACACATGGAACATTGCTAAAGTGTCTGGACAGCCAGTGTCCGCTGGCAGCCTGCCCACACTCCAATTCCTGGAAAGGCTTAAGGCAGAAAAATAATCACTTGGAGGAGTCACCATCTGGGCTTGCTCTGGTCCCAGAGGGATTGCTCACTGGAGCTCAGGATGTGCATTTTCATGCAAAACTACAGCGTCTCTCTGTAAGGCACTTTAAATCTTACTATGTTTCTCCAAACAGTGTTTTTCTATTTATTTCATCTAATAAATTTAAAACCCTGGAGAGGATATTGGGTTATAGTTTGAGGAGCTGACCTCCTTTATTTATCTGGAGTTCACTGCAGCAAAGGTAAAACCAGCAATGCAAGCCTCCAAACACACAGTGGTGTGTACCCAGGACTGAGTCTTGGAGTGCAGAGAAGTTTGGGCCAGGCTTGCAAACCACAGCAGCTATGCAAACGGTGGGACTTTGACAGCCCTCAAAAATCAGGCGCTTTTTGCAGTCCCATGATGCAGCTAACATAATTTTTTTGTCTCTAAAACTCCTTCAAAAATCTGGTCCCCATCCTCTCTGGTCCCTGACCTTCCTGCAGTTGCCAGCAAGCTCACACCAACATATGCCACCGGGAGAAGGGTTGGGGCCATCTGCCTGCTTGCCTCATTGCAAGGAGGGGCAGCTGTCAGTCTCCAACTTCAGCAATATTCAAATCAAACCAGTCACTTACTGTCAAAAGGCTCCTTTGATCCCAGGCTCTAATAACACACAGATTACTATGCCTTTTCAACTTTCACCTTCCAGCTCCAGGTATTACCAGCAAATTCTCACATTTATCTGCGTGATAAAATGATTGTGTCTCTCCTCCTTCAGACACCGCTGCCCTGCCCGGAATGTAGATGTTAATGCAGTATTCAAAGAGTTGAGCCCGATACACGGCTCTTTATGTCTGGGGTGTTACTGGGCAGAAGCAGCAGCACAATCTGATGCTCCCGCCTCAAAGCACCCGCCCCTTGTATCATGATAGGATGACTGAGTAATTTCAGCAGCACTGGAAATCAGTGAGAAGGGAGGGCACTTCATCCCATCTCTCTCCTCCCCTCCAAGGAGGCTTGCAGGATCAGATTCAGAGAGGTGAAAAGACAGACACATTGCAGAGGGCTCCACAGCCGCATTCTGGCTCTCAGATCTATATGCCAGCTTTCTCCCCCTGCTCTCCACGCTGCCCGCTGCCAGCTACATATTCATTGTTGTAACTGCTACAGATTCCATTAGCCTTGCCATGTGCAGCTCAGTGCATGCCAACAATAGCTATAGGAGTTTATTGTCCAATCTGACCAATTTCACAGCTCTCTGGCAGAATTCCCAGGAGGGCCAACTGCAGAGATCCATTAATAAGAAACATGAAAACCTCTAATAAAATTTGAAATTCTCCTCCCAAAATGAAAGGATTCCTGATCAGCACTAAGTCTGCAAGATAGATTGTCCATTGCAGTTTTAGCTCTGTAGCAAATTGCTACAGATTTTGGCACAATGAGCAACTATTCTGC